TGCTTTGCAAATTCTACAGTTTGAATCCATTTTAAGACTTCTTCACAAACTGTCTAATCCATTCTTTTGTCCAGGTAGTTGCAGCAGCCTTGGCACAAAGCCCGTATGCATTGCGCTTGGCAAGTCAGGTCAGTGTTTGGGGGTTCCGGATTGTTGTTTCTGGGGTCCTGCCAGAGTGCAAACTGTAAAGGCACACAGCACAACGTGGCATGGTCATCATTGCAATAGGATGTGTGCTTTGATGCACGTTTGTGGCTATATTGGGTGGTATTTAGATGTATTTTGTCTCAAACGCGGGGTCCGTGTGCCAAAGCCAACTGCAAGGAGCTGCGTGGAGACAGAGATTTGGTGCTGGGCTGTGTACAAAAGGACTGGACCATAAAGCCTTGTTCTGTTTGCTGTCATTTTCAGCACGATACCATGTCCATTTCGCTGCCTTTTTCCAGTAGTTTGTTGAGAGCAGGCATTTGAGGACTTGCTGTAGTAGCCATGTTCAAGGTGCATTTCCTTAGAACAGTTTAGCTTAGCATGTGAGAGGCCAAATGTCAGTCACAAGGACCTTACAAACCTTATGTTGAGTTGAATAAAGACTCGCAGGGGTCTGGTGCATTGCGCTACGCTGCACCAGATCTACTTGCTGATCAAGAGGCAATGAGGGTTTAATGCAGCATTCCCAGTTCACTTGCTGCGAGGGCATGCGTTCACTTGCTTTTTCAGGCTTCACTCCAAAAGCATCATCATGTGTCCAAATCTGGAAACATGCCGTTGCCATGTGAGATCTTGGCAGCTGCAGTGCAACAAGATGTGCACTGCCTGCGTCAAGCCAAAGAGAACTTGAAGGATGACAAGGACTGCGCCGAGAGTTGCGTGACAGGGCCAGGCACTGCTAGACGGGCTATACAGCCAGACAGGTTGAAGTTCCAAGCCAGAGCTTTTGATCAATTTTGAAGACTGAATTGCTTTCAACCAGCTCTCGATTTGCATCTATTGTAATAACTGAGTCAGAATGCTTTGAGCCGTTTTGCAGCCGAGAAGTGCTGTGCGGCTTGCAACGAATTAGGTCCACAGATCCATTTCACAAATCGCGGCGTCAGGATCTCATTCTTCAGGCTGTGAAATCCAACGGCATTGCCTTGCAATACGCCTCTCCAAGGCTGCAAGATGACCTTGAGGTCGGGTGTGAACAGACAATTCCAGGTGATTCCGAGTTTGAATGAGAACCTATTATTATAAGTGTAATCATTTATATATATATAAGTTAGTGTATTTGTGGTTCATGATGACAAATTCGAAGGATAAGAGTGTTTTTCTTGTGACAAGAGGATGTTTTGAAGTAGTTAATATTACTACAGTATATATACTGTACTCATTATATTCATTATATAGCAATTCAATAATATTACTAGATATATCACTATTATTTCATATAGTCATTACAGTAATAAAGACCCTCTCAAAATGAGGGGCCACACAAGTCATTCTAGTTTAGCAGGCACATTCTTTTGTTGTTGCCATTGTGCTTGCTCCGGATTAGGTATGGCTTGTTGCTGTTCTTCTTCGTCCTGTTCTCCTTCTTCACATGCGGTGACACCATGTGACACCAGTGAAACCTGCTGACAACATTCAACAACCGCCAGACAAGCCTTCCTCAAGTGAAATCATGGCTCAGGTGGTTTTAGAAGCAGTTGCTCAGCGGCTTGGCGCCATATTGAAGGATTTGGCAGAGCATTGTTTGATAGCTACAGATTGATGCAAATGGGTGCCATGTCGTTGATTCGACCAGTGTTTGCTTCTTTGCAAGTCTTTGTGTTTCCGTACATTTCGTTCATCCAGCTTGTTGGTTTGAGTCACGGCGGTCAAAATATGATCGCATGACATGAGTGCAAAGGGCGATGCATGGCATACTGCAAACATCTGCAAACACAAGTGCTCAGATTGCCTCAAACTTGAAGGTGTTTAGCATCCATGAGCTCAACTGACCGCCAAGGTCAGGCCATGCCTTGGAGTTTGCCTCCACAACACTGCGCCAGGAACGCCGCGTGGTGCTGGCAGCCGTGCACTGCAGCGGCCGAAGCGCAGTAGCCTTTGCCTCCAAGGTGTGGCAAGATGCTGAAAATGAAGAGAAGAACGAGGTGCTGAAAATGTAAAGCGATGCACTTGTTACTAGTAAAGAACGGCTAGTGTAGGGGCCAGATTTCTATCTATCGGTGTTTCCTAGTTGAGATCATCAAAGGAAGTGCCCAGGATAAAGTTCCAAATTACGAACAGCTGCAGTCGGAGTGTTCTTTTTCCAGCTGAATCTGTTGCGCAGTCCATTTAGTAAAGCGAAGTGGCGGGTTGTCGGGGACGGACGAGCGGCTGCGGAAGGGTTCTAAGGGGGCACTGAAGCGGTCAGTTCAAAACGCATTAAAGTACTGTTACTGTATATAAAAGTGCTCTACGGGGATGCTTCAGAAAAGTCATCAAAAGTACAGATAGATATTTCCAGAGAAAAGTATAAAGGTCGAGATTTCCAGAGGAAAGCAGCGACACGTTGAGAGACAAGGACCGTAAAGCGCAAGACTTTCTAGGGACAAGTAGCTCAAAGTAGAGACCCCCGAGTGAAAGTTTAAACAGAAGAGTTGAGTAGAGTGACAGTTTAAACAGATGATTAGAGATTTCTATCAAAGTTGTAGTTGTCTACAGGAGATTCTGTGGTGCGTTCCTAATGTGGTGGTAAAGTGACAGTTAAGTCAGTTAAGTAAGTAGGTTTCTATGCGATGACGCGAGGGTTTCCCGATACCTCAACGCCTCTTGACTTGCAGCCGGGTATGTGAGGTGACAAGTTGTGCACTGATGAGTAAAAAGACTACAGCCGGACCAACAGAATCCCAAGTGGTCTAGGTAAAGAGTACCCAGTCAAACGAGTGCCACGCACCAAAACGCAACTAATTCACGGAAGAGTGTTCTTTTTTTTTGGCCCACCCTCACTTGGTTAAGAGGCGCATACTTAATTAAGTAAGGCTAGTAGCTTAAGCAATCTATTAGCTACTGGATGCAGGATAGCCATGGATAGCCCACGCTCGCACTTATTTGGTTCCTAGAATTTTACCGTAGGATATTGTTTACAATTGTTCAAGCGGCATTGCTGAACAGATTTTAGCAGTGGCAGTGGTGAGATTGTATCAAGGAGCAACTTCAAGCACTACACTTCACCACATCGAGTGATCATCACAGAGTGCCACTCTACAGTCCATCGCATTGCAAGCCACCACATTAAACTTCACCACGCTACACTTCACCCCACACTTTACCACATCACAAATTACCCGACTGCACTTTACATAGCTACACTTCACATCACTAATCACCACTCCACATTTCACCAAATCAATCAACACCACGCTTTATTTCACCACCCACAACCCGTCAGAATACATGTCACCAGATCACAAACCACCACATCAGATATCATCAGGTGGCCCTTCATCAACTCACATCACGAATGTCTTCACAGCGATCACACGTCCTCTGGATTCCTATGGCTTTATACTTTCTGAAGCTTCAAACAACCAAAGGAAAGACCATGATGGATACTGATATTGTGGTCCAGGAACTAACATCTAAAGTTGAAAGAGGTATGAGTTTGGAGAGTTTTTTTCAAGAATATATAATATGTGCAGGATTGTTTTTGTTGACCCCTCTTGCTTTTGAATCCGATGTTTGTTTGCTATGTCAAGCTTTTACAGGAGCTTCGCTCAGACGTAGAAGTGCTCCGTGCAGCGCGCGCGGGCGGAGGCTATGATGCGCCCTTTGGGATCAATTCTTTTACCCATGTTTGCCAATTTGCAACCCAATTGAGAAATGCATATTGCATACTCCCTATGGTGAGAAGGACACCGCGCTGGAATAATTTGCTGAAACTGGGAATGGTTGACTGTGTGAAGTGTTGGCCAGTCACCGAAAGGAAAGTAACGCGTGAGGCATTGGAGAGTCTCAGTGAAGTATTGTTGCATATGATCTTATGGGGTCTTGGTTTGCTTCGGGATGATGGTCAGAAAACGGAAGGTCGTCACAAGACAAGTATTTTAGAACGTAAATGCAAACAACGAAGGCTTGAAAGACTGGTATTCACCCTTTTTCTCAACCGAGTGAACTTTTGGCAACTAGAATATTGCAATAATTTGCAATACTAAAGATTGACATTTGCCATATTTGGTTCTGTTTCATGACTAGAATGCCATGTTTGGTTCTGTGTCCAGGGTGTTGACTGGGGTACAAGCGCCGCGTCCAGAAGGACATTGCTCCCAGGTCCAGATGATTTGTCGCCAATCTGATAGGTAGGGGGCCTTACCATGGTCGATCGAGTTTTTAGAATCCAAGTAAAATGACACATAGTTGATGCCTTTGATTTGCCCAAAGTCGACCATTTGCTGTAGATGTTGGCAGCGTTTATACCCCTGGCTTGCGCAAATCCAGTGCGTTCCTTCAAAGTGCCAGTGCCAGCTCATTTCCCTTTCGTTTTGTCAAAGCGCGGCCAGGTGTTCACTCTTTCTTGAAGGCCTGGGAGCAGACTGTGTTTTTTTTTGCCGACACTCTCCAACAGTTTTGGAAACCCAAGAATGACAGGCAAAAGGATGCAGCACAGTTGGTGCAATGCTACCTGTTTGCAATTTGCTTTTAAAGACAGTCAGTCCATGGCCATGGTTTGCGTGAACCACAGAAATGAAATCGAAGAGAAAAAGAATCACCACGGCGTGACGGGTCTGTGTTTCAGCATTGCACGCCAGGCAGCCGCCAACAATGTCCCCTTTGGTGCAAAATGGAATTTGCCACCCCGGTGTTTTCCGCACCGCGGGATTACTTTTCCTGCTTTGGGCGAGATGTGCCGAGCGCACCGGGTTTTCTGGAGTTTAGTTGCCATTCAGAAATTCAGAGGTGTCGTTCAATCAACCTGAGCACATTGAAAGAACATCGGCATATGCCGCTTTCTGGTGGTTGGAACAGCCTGGTGCTGGCAGGGTCTAACTTCCCTTATGCCACAGAGATTGTGAAGAAACTCAACCAGGCGCATTTGACATTTTGGATGTTGGCCAGTGCGCAAATAGGGGCAGCTTTGTGTTTGTGATATTTAATGGCCACTGGATGAAATTGGTAATTTGTAGTTCGGGTTCATGCTAGTGACTAGTGCATCCTTCACGAAGAAGAAACTTGGTCCACGGACAGTTGGTTGCCTCCATGCAGCAGTTGCCTCCATGCCACAATATTATGGATTTGTTTTGGCGTTCCAGGTCCCAGCCAAGCTGATCATTGCAGCCTTGTTGGAAGTGTTGTGGCTTTGCCAGTCTTGTTCTCCAACCATCGGCGCATGCTCATGTTTGTGGACCCAAACCTTGGGATGATGTACGACTTCCCCAGACATTTTCTGGATCATTCAAACCCAGTATATTTTATCATGTGGTGTATGCATATATAATATAGATATTAGATATTTATGCTACTTTAAGCAGCAAGACATTAAGCAGCAAAAGCACGCTGGTTCCTATGTTTGTTAAATGTTGGTTGTTGATTCGCACAAGTCAACCGTCCACACATCATTCCTTTTGATGTTTGACCAAAAGAGGCGCCGTTGGATCTTTTGGAGGACTGTGGCCGACGGCCAAGACTGTCGAGTTTTCCGCAGGTTAGTGATGTTGTGAGCCAGCCTATCAAAGGCCTCATTGAAGACATGTCACTTTCCTGTGATATTGTCAATTTCAAGAAGTTTTGAAGGCCTCATGAAAGAGATTGAATTGAATTCTACACAAGTGTCATTTCACTTGTGGTTGTTGGGCAGAAGAGTTTATAGCTGTGCAACATTGCACATTGCTCACTACCTCCTGAATGCCCGATGTTGAGTTTACATATCACCGTGGTCAAGCTCATTGTGGCATTGTGGCGTGCATGCTCTTGGGATGTGCAGATGCATTCTTCCCAGGACAAGTGCTTTGCTACTTCACCTCCAGCCGATGCAAAGGAGAACCAAAATCAATATTTTGTATAATCACCCAGAAATATCAAAGAGTGACTAGATTCATTTCTTTCTCCCTAAAACTGGAATTTTGCGTCACACGCACACACCACTTGAGCTTGCTACAGGATGATATTCATAAGGACATATAAGGACTTTGTATTGCATCTGCTGAACCAATTGAACATGATTTTTTTTTTATGGATGCTTAGTTTTGAAATTAAGCGGAATGTGTTTAGAGAAATCGGAAACAAGTGCGAGACAATCACAACGCCTTGGACTCCGTAAGTTTCGAGGTTGCATGCATTCTGCACTACCATCATACTGATCCACATTTTTGCCGCAAAATAGCTGAAGCACGATTGACCAAACTGCTGATGTAAGTGTTGCATTCAGAGAGGCATACAGCAGACAGGAGCAATCAGTTTAGTTTGCTATAACACGAAGCTGGCCAAGGTGGCCATGATGGGCCCATACCCATACAAACTATAAGCAAATGACGTGCTACAGGCAGATGCACTACAATGCGATCATGAAGCAGAACCGTTTGTTACCGAAGGGTTTGGCTAATCCGCTCCACACGTCCAAAACAATACCCAGTAGCTGCAATACCATGTAATACCCAGTATCATCCACTGATCTCTACATATCAAGACAAGGGAAGTTCCATTCAATGGAAGCATTGTTTCAAATGTTTTGCCAATTGTCCAAACCAACACTGATGCGTCTCAACGTAAGGATTCCAAAACCACCTGAGTGACATCGAGAGAGTCTCTCCAGGTAGTCTCATCGAGTAAGCAGCCTGACGGCTCTGAATTAAGCATCTCATCTACTCTTATAATATTTTATAGTATCTTATAGTATATATATATTACAATCTCTCTCTATATATATAATACCAAAAGCTGTACATAGCTCTACTATTTTGTACTATACGGTCTAATGAAATTGTGAAATTAGGGGACAGGACCAAGGGAGACCAAGGGAGACCTGAGTTGGAGTTTTCAATGTAACTGCTCTGGTTCACAGTTTTTTTTCCCAACCTCTCACGCATTCACGCAGGACCGGTTGCTGGCCATCGGCTTCACTACCATTTTCGAATACCTTTTCTCGCAGATTTGCTGAATTTCAGAGACTGGGGATGAGATTTGTGTCTAATGGCCCTAGAAGCCAATTGAAGGACATGTGCAAGGTTATATTCACCTCGTGTGAATTTGAGCAATAGACATGAGTTGAAGTCATTTGATGATGACTGCGTTCGAGATTCGCACTCGCCGCGCTGCTCCCTTGTCCAGCGCGCTTGAGCCACAACATGTGGCCGCCTGTACTAGGCCTTGTGAGAAAAGGTCCCCTTTGCAACAGACGGAAACCTAGAGCGTTCCGCATCGACGGTGAACTCGGTTTGACTTCCTTTCGTGTTCCCGTGTTTTCACATTGGTAGCGGAGCTGCCAAAGAGCAGCTCCGGATCCATTTGCCGCCATGTCTCGATCCCCGAAGGGAAGCTCGCAAGCGAAAGAGCCGGCCGAGAAGGCCACCTTTGGAAAAGATGAAAGAAGCTACATCCCGCGCTTCGACAACACGATGACCGGCTACCGAGAGTGGCGCAAGAGGATCCTGCTGTTCGCCCGCCGCCAGGCGATCCAAGGAAGAGCAAATGAGACAGGTCTGTCAGTCCTGTCGATCTTGGAAGGTGCAAGCTGGCGCCAATGCGAGGACCTGGACCTCGACGCCCTCGAGAAGGACGATGGCCTCAAGAGCATTTTGCAGAGGCTGGACGCCCAATGGCAGTATGATGATCGGGTTGAAATGCCTGACGCATTCGAGAAGTACTTCTACAAGACGCAACGTCGAGTTGGGCAGTCGTTCCTTGAGTTCTGCACTGAGCACCAGCAGTCCCTTCGAGAACTTCAAAAGTACAAGATATCGCTCCCCGAGCAGGTCGCTGGTTGGCTGTTGTTGAGAAAAGCTGGCTTGAGCAAAGATCAACAACAGATGATCTACACACAGACCGGCACCGATATGTCCCTCAACAACATCGAGAAGTCCATGTACATGATCCTCGGACAAGACTACAAGCATGTCCACCAACCTGCAGTCCGACGAGCTCAGAACCAAAGCTTCCAAGGACGATGGAAATCCCGCCAACTCATCCACATGGCTGAGGACGATGAGCTTTGGGAACAGGATGACTGGACAGAAGACTATGAGCCCGATGAAGATGCTTTCTATGAAGCTGATGAATGGTATGACCAGGAGTACGACCTCGTTGATGACCCAAAAGATTTGGCATACCTCCATCACACCGATGAGGACACGATCTTCGACACCGAAGAGTACGACATGGCAATGGCAGCTTACACTGATGCCAAACAACGGGTGCTTGAACTCAAGCGCTCACGTGGTTTCTATCCAGTGGTTGCTATGGTCGACAAGAACCAGCTCCCCGTCATGGCCAACGCCAACAGCAGTTCAGGTGGAAAGAGTCCGAAAGGACGTGGGAAAAAGGGGAAATCAAAGTCCAAAGCACCACAAGGAAAAGGACCACAAGGAAAAGCTCGTGCACGATGCAATGGTATGTCACCGATGTGGCAAGCCTGGACACTTTGCCTCGCAATGCAAGGCAGCAAGCTCTAGCACTACCCCGACCTCAGCAAAGAAGAGAACTCTGGAGGAATCAGATCCTCTCCTCACTGGCATGGTTCTTTTTGAGAATGTCATGGCTTGTGAGAATGACACCTCTCCAAAGAATGTCATGGCTTGTGAGAATGTCACCGCCTCTGAGAATGTCGTGGTTTGTGAGAATGCCACCCCTCATGAGAATGTCATGACCCTTGTGAATGACACAGTCCAAGTCGAGTTCTATGACTGTGAAGAGTTCTTCGAATGCGAAGATGCCTACAGCAGCTCAGATGTCCTCGTGTCTGAGCATGAATGGTTGGTCCCTCCAGAAATGGCAATTCAGGATCAAGGAGCATCTAGTTTCCTGATCGGCGCGGAGTACATCCTTCGCTACATGGCTTGGTTGCAGCTCCTTGGCGTCGATCTCTCACGACTGGAGTTCAAGAAGTGCAGCAAACACTTCAAGTTTGGCGGAGACGCCAGTGGTCACGCAAGATGGCTTTTGTCAGTGCCCACCTACATCAACGGCAAGGCAGGCTTCATTCAGGCCTACATCATCTTCGGAGCCACACCTCCCCTCCTTGGGAGACCAGTGATGGAAAGGCTTCAAGCAGTTGTCGACTTCGGAGCCTACAAGATGCAAATCCTTGGCAGTGATTGGCTTCCAATCGAGAAAGGACGCCAAAACACCATGCTCATGAGGCTAGCTCGCAAAGAAGCTGGTCCAATGCAGTTCAACAACCACCAGTTCGACCTTCGAACTGAGGATGACCACCATGAGATCCTTCGCTTCGACGACTTCATTGAAGACATGAAGGCCCAGAGTCGCTTCAGTTGCATCAAGAGCAACCTGGAAAAGACCTTCAAGCCCTCCACGGTCTTTACGGCTGAAAACCTGGAATCACCTCCTCAAGAAGGTGAGAAAGGAAAGAACCAAGAGTCACTTCGCGGTTTTTGGAACATGGTGCTGGAACAGATCTGCAAGGAAGAAAGACGGCTACAACGTGAAATCCTTCATGCCCGTGATCACCAACCTGACCGACAGCCAGTGGTCTGGGAAGTCTATGTCGGACGTGGCAATGTCACCAAAGAATGTCAACGACTTGGTGCCAAAGTTCGACGATTTGGACTTGAAGATGGCTGAAACTTCAACAAAGCAGCCGACCGTCGTGCCTTCCTGCAGCTAGCTGATGAAGAAGCACCTGATGAAATGTGGCTGAGTCCAAAATGCACACTATGGAGCACCATGCAGAACATCAACGTCAAAACAGAAGACGATCGGCTTCACCTCAAAGCACGCCGACAAGAAGACCATGAAAAGCATCTCAAGTTCTGCCGTCGTGCTTATCTTGGACAAGTGCGCCGAGGTTCACATGCTCACATAGAACATCCAGCTCATGCGCTGTCCTGGAAAACCCCAGCTTTCGCCAACCTCCCTGGCTACAAGGTCATTTTTGATCAATGTGAGTATGGCGCCACCACGATGAACGACAACCACGAAGAGATGCCCATCAAGAAGCCAACAGCTCTTCAAACAACAAAGTTGGCAATGGTCCGTCGAATGTCCAAGAGATGCAGTGGTGATCACATGCACCAAACCCTCGAAGGCAGCAACAGATGCCACAAGGCTGAGGACTATCCCATCAAGATGGCACAGCATATAGCACATGCCCTTGTTCAGCCTGAAGGACTTGAAGAACAGACCTTTGCTGCTGGAGAAGGCGATGAACAAGAGTTGACTGGTGTTCTTCGAAAACTGGCCACCACCCATGGATCGGAAGCAGCAAGATTAGCGTTCCGTCTTCGTCGCAATCTTGGACATCCACGAAAAGAACTTCTAGTTTCTCTCCTTCGCCAACGTGGATGTGGTGAAAAGATCATCAAGGCAGCCGAAGATCTTGAATGTCCATATTGCAAGAACTTTGCAGTCCGCAAAAGGTGCAGCTCCAGCTCATCTCAGCAGAGCCGAGAACTTCAACACCCACGTACAAGCTGATGTGATGTGGTATGACCTCGTGATTGAGGATCCTGACGGAGCCACCAAGCGGAAGGGCAAGAAGATCCCCATCCTCGTCATGGTTGATGAAGCAACTCGGTTCATGAGTGCCCGAACCGTTCCTGATGAGCAAGGTCCTTCACTACAAAAAGCCTTTGAACGAGGTTGGATCCGACATCATGGCCCTCCTGAACGTCTCTTTGTTGATGAGGCCACCGGTTGGGCAAGCGACAACTCAATGAAATGTGCTGAAGAACATGGCATTGAAATGAGAATTTCACCAGGGCAAGACCACACAAGAACAAGCATTGTTGAACGAAGACATCAACTTCTTCGAAGAGGTCTTGCAGTCTTCATCCGTGAGCACCATTGACAGGACTTGTTGGACTCCAAGATGCCTTGAATTGGATTGTCCCCTCCCTGAACAACAACACCTTTGTCAACGGCTACACACCGTGTCAATTGGCTCATGGCAGGCAACCCAATGTGCCTGGTTTGCTGAGTGATGAACGCACTTCACCTCTTCAGCTACAAACGACTGAACAAGAACGGCTGTACAAGAAGCTTCAACTACGAGCAAGTGCACATGCCGCGTGCGCCAAAGCTGAGATTGATGTCAAGCTCAGAAGAGCATTGCTGAGAAGGTTCACTGGCCAAAACGAAGACCTATCTCCAGGAGAACGATGCCTCTACTTGAGAGAATCCAATGATCGGTTCCACACAATTCAATGGCGTGGTCCTGCAGTGGTTCTAGCTGTTCAGCGAGATCCTGATACCAATGTGGTTGACACATACTGGATTGCACACGGAACTTCGTTGTTGAGAGCTGGCAAGCAGCATGTCAGGAAGCTTCCGAACCTGCAAGGCTCCATCGGCTCCACAGAGCGAGCAACCCAAGCAATGGAAGGACTCCGACAGCGACGTGTCGTCCGCATCATCGATCTCGAAAGAACCAATCGCCAAAGTCTAGACGACATGGACCCTGACCACGCAGAGGCTGAAGAACTCTTGGCTCCTGAGGTAAACATTGACTTGGAACCACTCCAAAATGAACACCATCAAGCACCTCTCAATCAAGGAGATGCTTCAGAACCTCCAGGTCCAAACGAACCTCATGGTCAGAGTGAACCACCAGGTCATAATGAACCTCTCGAACATCCTGATGGAGAACCTGATGTACCAATGGACCCAGGTCAACTTCCACCAGTTCCTGAAGATCAAGATCTCGATGAACCACAACAACAAGTGCCACCGTCAGTGGCAGAGCCAGATCCTGATCCGGAGTGGGAACTTGATCCACTATATGCTCAACCAGCTGGCTCTCAAGAAACCTTTGAAGAACGTCGACGTCGATTTGACCAACAAGAAACCATACAAGCTCGACGAGTTCATCCAGTGGTTCCCATCACTGAGCCAGCAGAAGAGTATAGAAACAAAAGGATCCGAAGACCACAGGAAGAAGATTTGCAAGTTGACACCGACCTCCTGGCCCTTGATGACACCATGAATACCGACAGCCTCAACAACTTGGTGGAAGGCTGGACGTTCGACAAGGCCACCGGAGAGTTCGTGCTGGGTGAAACAAAAGACTATTGGAGTTTTGAAGACGGCTTTCTTGTTCGCAACCATGTGTGGTCCAGAAACTCCACCTTCACTTCCGAAGAAGCACCACTTCCAGTAGCAGCAGAAGAACTTCAATCAACAACTGGTTTGACCCTGCCAAATGGATCTCGCCAAGTTTTTGTGAACAACGAGGAGACCTACTCAATTGGCAAGGATCAATGGGTTGGCAAAACTCTCTTCCCGCTCACAAAAGAAGCAGCACAAAGCCGACACCTGCCCTATGCTGGCGATCTCAAGAACAAGCTCAACACCCGTTGGACGCTGCGATGCCGTGGGCATATTTGGGCTGCAGTCACTGCACCAAAGAAGAAGCCAACACCCTCCAATGTTGATGAGAAGAAGCTCTCCTGGGAAGATCGTCTCGCATTCGTTGAAGGCAAGAAAGTGAACTTAGCTCGATCTTCGAGAATGGTGTTTGGGAGGTGGAACTACATCCACACAATGTCGCTCCAGATCGCATACTTCGAGCAAGATGGGTTCTCGCTTGGCGCACTGGAGCAGGAGGTGAACAACGAGCAAAAGCACGCCTCGTCCTTCAAGGATTCAATGATCCTGACCTTCTTGAAGGAAAGTTGGAAACCAGCAGTCCCACTTTGTGCCGAACAGCTCGCCAAACTTTGTTGGCCATCGCATGCAATGAAAATTGGGAAAAGTGGGTGAGCGACGTTGCAACAGCATTCCTCCAAGGCGATCCTCAATCTCGCCAGTTGTGGGCAAAGCTTCCTCATGATGCCTGCAAAATGTTGAACTTGGAGAGTGGAGCGTTGATGAAGTTGAAGAAGCCTCTTTATGGTCAAGCTGACGCACCACGTGAATGGTACAAAGTTGCAACCAGGAAGCTCCGACAGTTGGGATTTGCACCTCATCCCCTTGAATGTTGCCTCTTCCGACTGTTCGATGAGAATGACCGCTTGGTATGTTTGATTGGCCTCCACGTTGATGACATGCTAGGTGCAGGCGATCCAAGCCCATCGATGTACCAAAAGGTCAAAGGTGATCTTCGCAAGACCTTCGACTTCAAGCACTGGAGCGAAGAGGCAGAAGGCAAACAACTTGAGTTTTGTGGTTGCAAACTTAAGAAGACTGATGAACAAACATGGCAATTGCACCAGGAAGACTACATCCCTGGAGTGAAACCTTTGACAACGACGCCAAAAGGAGACCATGATCCACTATCTCCAAAAGAAGTGTCAGCACTCCGAGGATTGTTGGGAGCACTACAATGGCCATCAACACAGTCGATGCCGCACTTGAGCGCTTCAATCTCCCTACTTTGTGGTAGCATCAACGGTGCAACAGAGTCCATAGCAAAAGCTGCAAACAAAGCACTCAGGTTCGCAAAGAACAACAAGGACGCCTCCCTACAGTTCACAAGATTGGGTGATTTGAATGAACTATGTTTGACCGCTGTCAGTGACGCTGCATGGGGTGTCCGCCCCGATCACTTGAGCCAAGGAGGATACTTCATCCTGCTGTCCCACAAGGACGTTCTGCAAAAGAGTGGCGATTTCAAGTATGTCATCCTCGACTGGAGATCATACAAGCTGCCACGAATCAGCAGAAGCAGTTTGAACTCCGAGTCCCAAGCTTGCAGTGCCGCCATGGATTCCCTCGAGTACATCCAATTGTTTTGGAAGGGATGTGTCAACAGCTCATTCACCACCTCAAATGTGGATGAGAGAACTGGTCGACTACCGTGTGCACTTGTGGTCGATGCCAAAGCCCTATATGACTGCCTCAAAAGTGAAGCACCACAGTTGACTGGGGACAAACGCACCCAGATCGAGGCCTTGGTGATAAAAGAGAAGATGACCACCACAGGATGTCTCCTGAAGTGGATGTCCAGTGAGTTTCAACTGGCTGACGGCCTTACCAAAGTGGCTTCAAGGCAGCTCATGGCAGACCGCCTACGAACACACATGTTCACCCTCCAGTCCGACCAGAGCTTCACCGCTGCCAAGAAGAAAAGTCCAAAAGAGCGACATGACAATGCACGCCGCAATGCATTGACAAAAGCTGAAGCCCGAAGAGGATTGGCAATGATGATCATCTTGGGATCATCAAGTGTAGCACAAGCAGCAAGTGAAACAGGTGAGACAAACGAGACCTACAACATCTATGTTTTCATGCTGTTTACTGCACTCGCCCTTTTTGGTGCCTCTCAAGCTTTCATGAACATGCTCAAGGCCCTTGTGAATGTCAGCGGCAAGGTGATGAACGATGAGAAATCCCAGAACTTGATGGACGAAGAAAAGAAAGAAAGTCATGAGGTGGAAACCACAGAAAGTTCCGCCCAAACGACAGAACAACTTCAGAAGCTGGTGCCGACCCGACTTCGTGAAGAGAATGAAAGATTGAAAAGTGAAGTGAAAGAACACATTGAAGCAAATGCAATGCTCCAGCACAGGATCAACTACCTGGAAGCTGAAGTCCATCGACAAGATGATCGAATGGAAGAATATGAAGTTGGTTTGAGAGAAGCAACCACCGAAGCACGACTCGCAAATGCTTCATACCAACGCACAGTTCAAGCCCTCCAAAGCCTACAAGGCCAACACCATGTCCTGCAGCAAGAACACCGAAGAGTTCAGAACTGCAGAGAAACACCGATCCCGAAGGAAATCTTCATGGCTACACGTGGAACAAAGTTCCATGTAGACCCACAGTGTCCAGCATTCCACAACGCATCCGGCCAAACGGCCATTGAGAGTTGCAAGATTTGTGAAAAGCAGGTCCAGAAGGACCGATGGTGACTTGACCGAAGGTCAAAACCCTTTTACTTTTCCACCAGTGTGAATTTGAGCAATAGACATGAGTTGAAGTCATTTGATGATGACTGCGTTCGAGATTCGCACTCGCCGCGCTGCTCCCTTGTCCAGCGCGCTTGAGCCACAACATGTGGCCGCCTGTACTAGGCCTTGTGAGAAAAGGTCCCCTTTGCAACAGACGGAAACCTAGAGCGTTCCGCATCGACGGTGAACTCGGTTTGACTTCCTTTCGTGTTCCCGTGTTTTCACACCTCGCGTATTCACATGGTGATTCAATGCAGTTTTGATGGAGAATCGGATATGCTTGTGGTGGGCGATATAAATGGACTTGTGATGGTTGTTTGCGATTCATGCCTGCTACCTATGGGGCAAACATGTGATGGGAATACTCAGGAATACAATACAATACAGTAATGTAGCGCAAACTTTGATGTTTTGCTCGCGCACTTACACAATTTGCTGTGTTATTCTGAGCCAGACTTCTACAGTATTGCACGAAGGACATAGACAAGCGGCCTAACGAATTGTTGGCCATTGATGCGTGGCAAGGATGTGTTTCACTGCAAAAAGACACCAACGTGATTCTGGATGTTGACCACATGTGTAATTCCTGGCTCGCTCCAAGGCTTCGTCAATGTTCCGAAGCCCTGGCTGCAGCAGGTGGATACTGTATGTTAGATCGGGAGAAACCGTGGAGCGTTCAACAAGGAATGTATGTAATTAAAATCTTGACAATCTTGACAGTTGCATCACAGAGTCAGTCCCATTGAAGCTGTTTGGATTGTCTACTCACGGTGCGGGTATATCAGTCGGAAAATGCTGGAAGGCACTGCTGGGATCATCCTTTTGGCTGCGGCGGTGGCAGACTTCTACGTGTCCAGGGCCAAGCCATGTAAAAATTTGCAAGCGTGATAGTTTCAGCGTGCAGCGAAAGTCAGAGGCACCCTGAGAATGAGATCATTTTTCATATTCACTATTGTTCACTGTGTTCGATTGGGCCGATGATAAGTTGTCCAAAGAAGTAGTTCCCCTTCTGTGCGAAAGCTCCATTCTGACAAAAAGATGTTGCTATCGGGTTGAACTATTTGGCAATTTCATCAGTTGTGGCCCAGCAACAGGTTGTACCGTACCTTTCTCGTTGATTCTTTTCCAATGTTGTGTATTCCGTGATGCTTGAAGTTGGAGGATTTGTCGCTGTATTTGCATGAAATAGCTTCGGGAGTAAGCAAGAAGGTTTTTTGATGTTTTTTTGTTCGTACCGATTTGTACCACATTGAACTAAAGTACTTGGGGTGCAGCTGGAGAAGCTTGCAACCCCTCATTGACACAGAAGCTTGCAATAGCATTCGCACTGGGCGAATAATTTCTATTTTGGGAGCATCCCCCCAGACCCTCTTTGATGCCAAATATATCAAAATATAGAATGTTCCACACCCAGCGGGCTGTCCAAGTCCAGAGTCGGAGATGGCCACAGAGAAGATCCAAAGTCGAGTTTAGGACTGAGATGGTTCCAGTTGGCCGATTTCTCGAGTAGCAGAGTAGCAGACTGATTTGATACTTGCCTTTCGACATGACTTCAACTAGCTCCCGAAACAAAGCACTTAGGATCTTACAATAAGAATAATGTTGGTACAGTACATGTTAGATCCTTGGGAACAGGTATCGAGCTTCTTGCATCAAGTGCTAGTCAAAATGAGTGACAGTTGCGGTTGCTGGAGTTGCTTTTGAGCAAAAGTGGGTTCACGCTTTACATTGTTGCGCTGAAGGCGCATGATGGACTCACCGTGCAGCTCCGGAACGTTCCAAAACTGCCAGCGTCCCAGGAATCTGGAGCAGGACGGCCCTTTGTGGCTAAATGTGGGTTTCATGTCCATAAAAGCGTAATTATTTGTTTGCAAGCGGTGACATCCAAGCCTTAAAAAAAGCATGGTCAACACAGAGGTCCTTCAGGGAAAGGAAGAACTGAAAGAAAAAGAACACACATAAGAAGAAAAGGGTCTAAAGGTCAAAACAAGAGAAGAGGGACATAAAATACTGAAGAAACGTATTCTTGCAGATATTCTTGCTTCTACTTGCACGAGGTCATATGAAATCCATATGATGTAGATATTGTCAAATCCAGAGAGTCGTGCGTGTCGCATGTTGCAGTCTGTACCGTTCGCTACTTCACCGCTCAAGCCGGAAGGGTGGGTGGCATTCGCAGTTCGAGCCATTTTGATAGACTGGTGGACCACAAGCAGGGTTCTTGTGGAAAAGGCTGCCAGCGGGCCTTCGGAGGGCTACGGAAGAGCAGGGCTCTAACCACGGTTGTTTGAAGCAGGGACTTCATTGGGAATTCAACTTCCTTTGCATTGTTGTTTGCGGTTTGTCCGCAACCGTAGGTCTCTCTACCAATCTCGAAACCAGGGTGGCTTCGATATTGGTAGCGGAGCCTACCTGGACGATCGCACAGGGAGGTCCTGATCGAGCGTTGTGGGCTGAACAGTGGTGACCATGTGAGTCATCCGCCTCAGCTACATTGGATGTCGGGACAGTATCCTCAGGAAATCAGCTGGCAGCATTGATACCGACGTTTGATCCTGCAGTTGACAACGTGGAGCAGTGGTCGCAGAAAATCGAGCTACTGACCCTGGCCAGAGAGTCGCCTCAGCGAGCTGGCAACCAGGATCATTTTGAACTGCCGAGGATCGGCATTTGCAAAGCTACAGCTGAAACAAAAGGAGCTTTTGGGAGGCACCGTCGATTGCATTTCACAGATCGTTTCAACTTTAGGGGGCCAATTCGGCCAAGTGAGCATCGAACAGAAACTCGATATTGTGGAGAAGGCCATCTTTCGGTGTTCGCAAAAGGCTGATGAAAGTGCGGATTCCTACAGGTCTGATGTGGTTTGGACTGAATTGTTGATGAAAAAAATCAACTTGGCAGAGGTGCAAGCTTATATCATTCTTCGTGGTAGCAAGCTCACCATGGACGACAAGAAGCGGGTTCTTGTCGAATCAGGCGCGGAACGCGCCGGAGGGGAGCTGGAAATGAAGAAGGTGGCTGCAGCAATCCGCATGCTTGGATCGAGTTTTTTCCAGGAATACACCTCCGCAAAACGAGAGAAGGGCCAGTAGACCTATGATCATCAGGCCTTTGGAGTTGACGAGGTCGACGACTATGCCGAGGAGCTTAGCTGGGAACAAGAAGATCCAATGGAGGAAGACCTCGAAGCCCTAGCCGTCGAGGATGATGATGCGTCCATGGTGTTGCAATTTGAAAATGCAGTCATGGACACGATTCAAGAAGACAAGGATCTTGCCACTTTCTATGTGAGCTACCAGGACGCACGCAAGCGTTTACTGGACAAATCAAGAGCTCGGGGGTTCTGGCCAACTCGGAACTTCAAAGGTGGCAAGAAAGGCAAAGGCAAAGGAGAAAATCCAAAGGTTTGGCATACAGAATTGCCAATTCCACCTGCCGCCTGCGTGGACAGGCTGGACAGGAAAGCCGAATGCCCATCTCGAAAGAGTTCAGCCGCATCCGAGACCAATCAGGTCCCCACCTCCTTTGCGCTCATTCTGCCAGTGCACCGAACTTGGTTCCGCATAGCAATTGTCCCTGGCCAGACACCAGTTTTGCTATCGAACGAATTCCTCCGGACAATTCAGGCCGTCATAGACGCAGAAGCCAGCACTTTGTGGAGCAAGAAGCTAGGGAAGTATCTTGAAACTGCCAAGTCACCATCGAATCTCATGATGTTGAACATCAATCAACTGTGGCCACAGGACATTCTTGCTGTCCAAGACAATGTGCAGGTACAGGAGTCGTGTGAGACTCATCAATCTCGAACAGAACGTCCTGTTCCAAAAGATCAGCCTGCCGACGAATCGTCAGTCCAATCGTTCGCAACAAGTGACCAGGATGACTTGAGCCTCAAGCATTCAATTTCTCAAGCCGTAAAGTTCGCATCTCCGCCAGCATCGCCGACAGATGTCCAGTCTTCGACAGAAGCTCGCACAGTTCCAGGAGGAGGTCAAGAAGGAACAGACGCAGGACGACCTGCGAGACATCGAGCAGCTGTCGCTGAGTGCTCTCAAGACCATGCCGATAGCCTTCGGCAAGGCCAAACTAGGAATGACCTTCGACGAGGCCTTCCAGGATCAGAGCTGGACCAAATGGTTTGTGAACACGTACGAAAACAGCCAGAAGGCCGAACATCGGAAGTTCCTCCGATTCGTCGCGAGAGCCCAGCAGCATCGACCAGCGTCAAGAAGAAGACAGAACCATACCTGAGCCATTCTGCACAGGTACCGGGGCCATCCAACGTGGCCAAGCCGGTGAGTCCGACAGCCTGGGATCAGGAGGAACATCAGCTCGAAGAAATTCTGGTGCATCAAGAGAACCAAGATCTTCGAATGAGCAGGATCGAGTCCGCCTTGACGTCCATCATCCAGCACCTGGAGCAACAAGCCAGGTCCCAACACGAGCCCATCAACCCCTGGACGATGGTCAAGGAAGAGCCGATGTGAACCCGGCGAGACTTAGTGAGGTCGTAAGCTCACTCGGAAGGGATGATCTCGACTTTGAGTTTCAGGGACAAAACCAACCTGAATATGACCGGTTATGCTTAGCATATCTTCGACAGTTTCGAGCTGAATACCAACACATTGCAAGCGTCATCAAACCAAGCCCTAAAAGAGCTTTCTTGTTTGAAATCATGTGCTCAAAGGAGAGTGAGCTAACTCGCCAAGGGATGCAGCAAGGGCTCACGGTGAAAAGGTTTGGACTGGCCGAAGGTGATCTTCGTACCAAGAGCGGTCGTAGGAATTTGTTCTGCCACCTAGCTAGGGATCGTCCCAAGCATTGGTGGATAAGTCCAACCTGTGGTCCGTGGTGTTTGCGGTCCAATTTCAATATGAGCAAGAATGCAGAGCTTCGCCAATCCATACTCACTCAAAGGAAAGAGAACATATGGCAAGTCAGTTTGTCCCACATGCTATGCCTCAAGGGTCCCAGTTGCTGCGATTGCCATGTTTTCAATCAATTGTCAATGTGACGAAGCAGAGCATTTTTGACCTTTGCAGAGTAGGTGATCTGCGTGAGCCAGTGACCAAGGAACCCATCAGAAAGCGTCTTGTAGTGTGTACCACTTCCAAAGAGTTGCACAACAACCTGAACCAAAGGACTTGCGTGGATACTCACAAACATCATCAGATTGCAGGATCAACGGTGAACGGGAACAAAATGTCACTGTCCAGCTTTACCAAACTCTATCCCCGAAAATTCGCTCGTCAGATCATTCAGTGTCTCCATTGGGAAAAGGAAGGTCCACAACTCACTCTTGCCGTTGATGAAGATGAACATCCCACCAAAAGACGTCGAGTGAGCCAAAAGATGAACTCCACTCAAATTCAGGTTTTGTCAAGCAATCCATCCTGGGAAGAGGTCATGCAAGTGGTCGATATTGAAGCCCCTCGTGTTGGAATTAGGGTATAATCACAGAAGGATACCTTTGCAAAGCAGTGCAACGAATCTGTCTTCATCAAGTAGTCCATCATCTTGTCTTATGTCGTGGAATGGATAGGATGGTTGGTCCCAACTTGAGAATAGCACCCGGGAAAGCACCATTGAGAAGATTCGTAGGTATCCGACGTCGATTTGAAGATGTGGTAGTTGAGGACCAGTGGGAACCTTGAAAAAAAACTCACAGCTCGTCAAATGCGGAGACCGTGCGCTCCATCTCGTTGTGGACTGACGGTGTTTGCTCGATCCAAACTCAATAGTGACGAGCCCACAGATCAGGCCAAGAGAAAATTGTCGGCAGATGACCAGTCGCGGTCGAGCAAAAGCCTTAGAGTCCAGGCACCGGAAACCGAATCTGAGGGCGCACAGGAAGTGCCACCCGAGAGTGCTCCAGCAGGTCCTCATGCCAGTACAAGTCAGTCCCAACCGGAAGAACAATCCTTAGATATCCCCCCAAGCAGACAGCGTCAGACATGAAGTAGATTTAGTGTCAGACAAACATGGACTCCGAATGCTAGCACTTCGACCTGAAGAACGAAGTTGGATTTTAAAGATACATAAGAATATGGGACGTCCAAGTGCCGCCAAGCTTAAAGCCTTTTGCCAACAGCTAGGGTGCCAACCTGAGATAGTGGAAGCGCTCGAGGATCTCGAAGAGTCCAGAGTTAGCTAAGCCTAGCGCCATCCATCCTACGCTGGACTTCTCAGACGTAGTTGGAATGGATGGAATCCAATGGACCAATCGAGTAGGACAGCAATTCTTTTGCTACCACTTCGTTGACCAAGGGACCACGTTCCATACAGCAGTCAGTGCCCCAAGCCATTCAACCACAGATGCCATCCGAGCTCTGACTAAAGGCTGGATTGGCTGGGCCGGACCCTCCCACTACTGGTAGATTCAGGAACGGAATTTGGCACCGAGGGTTTCCATGGGTTCCTTCAAGAACATGACATTCGTCTTCGAATGATTGCTCCCGCCGCTTAGTGGCAGCACGAGTGGAACGACGCGGAGGGATACTTCAGTCAATTCTAGATAGAATGGATCAAGAAGAACTCATCACTGAAGAAGAGTTCCAGACAGCAATCACTTTCGCCACACAAACCAAGAATAAATGCTCCAGATACAAGGGTTATCCACCGGAACTCTTAGTGTTTGGAAAGCTGAGCAAGTGCCCTGGATCCGTGATCAACAACAAAGGCAACCGAAGCACGATTTGGCACTACAGGAATCCCCGGAGGGAGTCCAATTCCGTGAAAGGCTTGCTCTTCGCGAACGAGCTCGCAAGGCCTTTAGTGAAGTTGACAATATGCAATCCTTGCGCCGAGCCATGCAGCAAAGATCGAGACCTCAAAGATCGGTCTACCTCCCAGGAGACTGGTCCGTTGAGGGTGGTTCTTCAAGAAGACAAGAATGTGATTTGGGCAGTCCAAGGAAACAAACTCTTCAGTTTAGCGCCCGAACATGCAAGATCTTTGTCAGCTGTTGAAGAGATTCAAAACATGAACCAAGCAAAACAAGTGGACATGCCAAAAACGCTCGAGCAAATTCGATCCGGAAATACAAGATATGTGTCATTACATCCCTCGGAAATTCCAGTCTTGAGTGCACCCAGAAGAAGTAATGATGACCCAGAACCAAGCCAAGACCAACCGCATACTGAACCTGATGCATCAGAGAAAATGAACCCATCTCAACCTCGATCCTGAAACTCCACCTGAACCAATCGTCGAAGCTCCAGAAAACATTCCAGTACCCGTGGAGGAGGAAGATGACCTAGTGTGTGATGCATATGCCATGAATGACGATCAAGCATGGCGATTTGAAGTAGACATTGAAACCCGAGACATCGACATGTTGCGCAATGGTCCAGATCCAACAGCTTTTGCATTTCTAGTATCGGCGGCAAAGCGTCCAAGATCTGAAGTGAAGCTGACTACATTGACGTCTGCAGAACGTCAAATGTTCGACGCTGCCAAAGAGAAAGAAATCCAGAGCTAGCTAGACACACACGGTATGTCGATAAGGCATAAAATACCCATGCAAAACATACTCAAGTGCCGCTGGATCTTGACATGGAAGGACGCAGAAAATAACACACATCTCAGTGCCGACAGCAAGCAAGCCAGTAGTCGAAAAGCGAAAGCTCGCTTGGTAATCTTAGGTTACCAGGACCCCGAATTAAGCAGCTTAGAGAGAGTCAGTCCCACATTGTCAAAGCTCTCTCGGAACCTTCTCTTGCAGGCCTGCGTGTCCAATCGTTGGGAGATTGGAAGTTTTTGACATCAAGACCGCTTTCTTGCGGGGCCGTGCCGATTCTCGCACGCTCGGAGTCGAACCTCCACCAGAACTGAGAGCCAAGATGAATCTTCGACCCAATGAGGTGTGTCAATTGCTGAAGGGAGCCTACGGGCCCCCTTGTTATGGTTCCGGGCGCTGTCCAAAGCGTTAATTGAACTCAAGTTCCAACCATCACCATTCGACCCGTGTTGCTTCATTTTGTTCAATGACCAAAACAAGATGAGAGGCTTCATAGGTATCCATGTGGATGACGGTCTGTTCGCAGGGGACTCGGTATTCCATGAAAAGATCAACGAACTCGAACGCAAGTTCCCATTTGGAAGTCGGAAAAGAAAGAATTTTGTTTTCACTGGACTACAGGACTACAAATCAATCAACAAGATGATTTCTCAATCGCCGTTGATCAAACTTAAACTCAGTATGTCAAAGATATCAATCCGATTCCCATCGACAAAGACCGCCGGAAACATCCCGAAGAGCCTATCAACGATCAAGAACGACAACACTTTCGAGGTTTGATCGGGAGTTTGCAGTATGCTTCAGTCAACACGTCCTGATCTGGGAAGTCGCCCATGAGCTCCTTGCAAGGAAAAATCAATAACGGACAGATTCAAGATCTCATCGAGGGTAACAAGTTGATACACGATGCCAAAGTTCATGCTGCAGTCAAATGCAAATACCAATTTATCCCAAAGGAAAATATTCGATTCGTAGCGTTCTCGGATGCCTCATTCCCATCGGAACGAGTGCAATCATCCCATCAAGGATTAATGATCATGACTGCGCATCAAGATATAGGTAAGAACAAGAAAAGTGTCGTGAATCCAATCATGTGGTCCTCAAAGAAAAATCAACGAGTAGCAGTGAGCACCTTATCGGCAGAAGCAATGGCTCTTGCTGGAGCTATGGACATCTTAGCTTGGTGTCGCTTGTATTGGGGATGGCTAATGGATCAAACCTGCCAATGGAGACTAGGCGACAAGACACTGTCCAAGCTTCCTCAAGCCTTTCCGCCTTGAAGGACACGCCAGAACTTGAAGATCCAAACCAATCACTAAGTGAGAATTTGATGAAACTTCAAGTATTACGCAAGCAGGATTCTCTAATTGCTACGGACTGTAAAAGCCTATTTGATATTGTAAGTCGAACAGCTCCACCGTCACGCCAGGAATTTAGAACGCTTTTGCAAGCCCGCCTGATTAAGGAACATCTCGCCACTGGACTGGCAGTCCGTTGGGTCCCGTCAAGCGCTCAAGTGGCTGATTGTTTGACTAAGATCATGGATAATTCTACCATTCGTGAGCTCATGCATATCGGTAGGTACCAACTTAATGACGAGGAAGAAATTTTGAGAGTTCGATCAGACCAGAAAGCCCATCTCCGTTGGTTTCGTAGCCACGAACAGCCACAGAAGTCCACTTCCGACTGAGGGAAAAGCCAAGACGATCCCCAGTTGATGCAGTGGAAAAGACCATCCTGAAAATTCAAGTTTTGATTTTTGCAATAGTGACTGCTCGACGGAAAACGCTGAAGCTTGTTGTAATTGTGGCATGTCAGCAAGGCCTGACTCTATGACAGGAATCAGTGGAACGGGAATGATCCCACTGACTCAGTTTGTCTTGAAGGGGAGTTACTCTGAAGAGTAAATGGGGTAAAGCAATTTCAGCAAGGTCACCACTGGTCACGATAGAACATGCTCGACAAAATTTTACTTTTGGGAATGTCAAATCCAGAGAGTCGTGCGTGTCGCATGTTGCAGTCTGTACCGTTCGCTACTTCACCGCTCAAGCCGGGAGGGTGGGTGGCATTCGCAGTTCGAGCCATTTTGATAGACTGGTGGATCACAAGCAGGGTTCTTGTGGAAAAGGCTGCCAGCGGGCCTTCGGAGGGCTACGGAAGAGCAGGGCTCTAACTACAGTTGTTTGAAGCAGGGACTTCATTGGGACTTCAACTTCCTTTGCATTGTTGTTTGCGGTTTGTCCACAACCGGAGGTCTCTCCACCAATCTCGAAACCAGGGTGGTTTCGATAGATATAATTCAGATATATGTATTATGTATTTATACACATATGTGATCTTCAGTTGTCTAAGAATTTTTTGTGCATGCTAATTGACCTACTTTTTCTAGACATTTTCCAGGAAGTGTACGTGTTCGTCGATTCAAAACTGGGCGAGATCTGCCCAACATGTTTATGTTGAATTATGTTGACCTCCCCCTCTTCTCTGGATTTGAAAGGACCATGCCCAAGTCGAACCGGCCTGTAGTGGTGTGACTCATGAACTACAAGCGCGGTACTGGAACCAACTTTGGCCCTCTGTACGACAAAGCCACGCTCAAGAAAGAGGATCTTTGGTCGGAACTACTCAACATCATGCCCCCCGCCAAGCATTCAAATGCCTGAGTGGAAAACTATGTTAGGGCTAATTGTCACGAAGATGAAACCCCTGCCTCTCAGACAGGGTGCCTGAGCCTTGTTCTTGGGCTTTATATATGCAAATTACACGATCTCTGAGAATTCTGTCGTTTCGGTCAAGGTCCATTTATTCTAGGCGGTTTGCGGTTTGCCAAAATTGGTCAACAACCAAACTACATCAAGCTGGCAACAACAACAGCAACTTATAGGACCGAAGATGTGTCTTGTATGTTTGTAATATACCACCACCGCTGAACTTCTCTGGTGCGCTTCCCCACCACAGCTGGAGTCAACGGATATGTGTATCTATGTAGTTAGTAGGTGTTTGTTTGGTGTGCTATTTTTTGTCCGGCTCGTTGTTCCCAAACCAGCAGGCTTGGTGCGGTCCGAACTTGGGCACCTCAGGCGCGACAGATGAGGAAGATGTGTTCTTGTATTTTCTTGTGTTTGTTTTCCAGAGTGTTTCTAGATGGATGTATGATGTATATAAATACCAATAGTATCACAATATACTTGGGTTTGCTGTAAACTTGAATTGAACCACTATTTAGACGGGTAGGCTGCTAGTAAGTGTGGCAGGAAGCTAATACAATCTTGCACGCAGGCTAGGCTCAGGCTTCTTCATGGAAGCTCCCCCTAATGATTGGTTCCTAGAGTTTGGGGGAAACTTATATAACTTTTGATTGAATGCGGAGGTTTTGCTTCCACAGTTCCATGTGGAAAGTGACCAAACACGATTTGCACGCGGACAGGCCTTCATATTTTCCTTCAAGTTGGAGCCTGGGCCTTGATGTCGGGGTGCAGTCAAGGGAAATGGCTGCGCAATGCTGCGCATATCTAAACATACCTCCTTGTGGACCAATCCTCGGTTTCAAAAGAATTGAGATTCGGGGTACTGGTTCTGTGAGTCATTCAATGCAGCTGCGCCGCACCCTTCAGCAGCTTCCTGCCAGTTTGCTAATGATCCACCAAACAAAGCGCAAGGTATTTGATTTTGATTTGTTGAACACTTGCTCGCCCATGACCCTTCGTGTCGGACTTTGGCAAGCTTTGCTGTACTTGCATGTGGCATACATACAAAAAAAAATGCTGCTGCCCTTGACCTAGGACCAATCCCAATATTCTTTTGGCCAAAGCAGCGGGTGCCCTGAAGAAGTGCCCAGTGAGTCGAGAAGTCCGACATTTGAAAAACGCCGTTTTCCACTCGCATTCTCAAGACCATGATTTGCCTAGCGTTGGTGCAATTCCAAACATAACAAATAGTAATATAATCCGGTCCACCTAGTAAAAAACATGGGGTCCCCCCCCGTAATAAGGAAACCGCGGTCGCATTATTCTTAATAGGGGGTCCCTGAAATCAGGTTGTCCAAAATAGTGTCACCTGGGAAGAGCTTCAAAACCAAAAAGTAACCCAGGAAAATGTTAAATCCTTTATTAAACTCATATCAAAAATTCAAAAAACCTACAGATCGAAGGGTCTTTCCTTTTCCCCTACAAAAACCTTCATTAGAATAGTGATTCTTCAGTATACCAACAGCTAAAGCTGTCGAAAGGTGATGTCGCTGTGCCATGCGGTGATGCATGACCTCGGTGGCAAGTGCGCTTGCGTGAGTCCGTGCCATTGGGGGAAGGAAAGCCTGCTGGTGGACAGGGCGGACAGAGGTGGGCAGTTACGGTTGCTTTTGGAACCTAATTTAAAAGACTCCTCCAAAATCGGCAATGTTGGTAGTTCAGTAGCGGCCTGAAAGGGCGGTAATGTAAAAACGAATATAAGCCGTATTGAGGTATTTCCGACATGATTTTTTTTGTTGACTAGGGGTCCATTTTTATAATGGGTACTCGGGATTAGTTGCAAGTCCAGAATTGCCTAATAACCTCCTTCAGTGTCAGCTGTCACTTTGTATAATATGATTCCAGTCGTTGGCAGGCTGAGCACACTAGTTCAATTTGCGTTCAACGATCCATGGCCCGTATTTACAAGTGGCACAGCCGGGGTAGCATTGGGCCTTGGGGTGACCCCAAAGTTTGGGCGTGCTACTTGTACTTCTTTGGCCTATACGGAAAGCCCAACCTACTTGCTGAGCCAGGTACAAAGTGGATGCAGCAGGGGCCCTGGCTAATGGTATTGGAAGTGGGGGTTGCATGTAAAAAAGGTGCCAAGACCTGTCAATGATTCAGCAATGACCTCAAGAGCCCGGGGGGTTTGGGGAAGGGTGAGCAGCATCAAGACAAGCATGTGCCAGAGCTGCTGTTCAAGACTGAGACTTGTCCTTCGAACCACGCTTCCTTTTTCCTCCAGCATGGATGTGGACCAGATGGTGAAAAGCAACACTAACAGGAACAGGCCTGCCACCCAGACAAAGCCTTACAGCAGTGACATCCCTTCGGCGAACGGTGGGAGAAGTGCTTGAAACTTTCAAATTTTTCTTACCACTTGCTCAGTCGTTCGATGAGTTGCAGAAAAAGGCACTTGAGCACCAATAACTCAAATTTTTCAGCTTCGCCCAAATCTTCTGCCCGCTTAGCACTAAGTGCCCAGTCGGGGGCTAAAGCTCGACAGTGGCGTGCAGAGTTTCAAGCAAAGAGTGCAGGCGAGGCTCGTGCAAAGAGGGTGGTGCAGCAGGCTGAGCAGAAAAAGGTGGAGCACTTGGCAAGGCAGCACACAAGCGCCCAGCTTCCAGCCATGCCCATTTTGTGAAGCGGATCGATGGTAAGGAGGGACAACAAGCACAGCAAGCCAAGTAGGGTCTGTTGTCCCCCTCCGAAGGCGCCGCACCACCAGGGCATCAGAGGTACAGAACGTGTTGGTTCCAAGTAGGAGGCGCAGGCCCAACATTGCTTTGTAGCAATGTATTCGCAGGTATTAGAACAATGTGGAAATGTCGTTTGGACGAGGTCTGCTCAAACGTGCTTCAGACCATCCGGGACTGGGTCACGATCGTTGAAGCAGATGAGGTGCGGCCTGGGCGGCTTGATGTGTGCTTTGGTTGGGGCATTGGGTTTGCGCTTAAAGAAACCAGCAACTCCGTTTCTGCAATTGCGGCAACGTTTTCTTGCCAGCCCTGTTATATAACCAGACTATAACATGATAATACATGATATAACCTTTATCAGCACGGCAGGAACTAACTGAGCTGTTTGCCTTGCCGTGAGAAGAACGCGCACTGTTAAGAGCTACAGCTATGCCGAAACCATTCCAATAGTTAAGAACACATGAAGTCAACAGTTCGCAATGATCGAGCTTGAACAAATGAAAATGTGAACTGCGAACCCAGGACCCCTCGATGTTTTAAGCCTATTCAGGAGCCGGGAAGGCAGGTTATCATGTAGTTCATGATGTTGTTGGTATCCTTTTGACACAAGGATTTACAGTATATAGTTTAGTAGGTGCATTGTAATTCCAAAAAGTCAAACACGTTTTTTGTTTTTTTTTGGGACTGCGGTTTGGGGAGCTAGTCTTGGACACTCCTAGCTTGGTTGGGTGTGTTTGTTGACCAAAGCGACCGCGAACCCGTAGACCAGGTTGGAAATAAAAGATTCCCATGGACACACACTCACACAATGGAGATGCATAGACCCTATAGATACATCATGACAAAAACATACATCATGAACCCCGAGCGCAAAGGCAGCCTTGTCCTGCTAATCAGATCTATTGAACCTTCCATCAAGAGCCTCCATGGCACTCACGCAAATAAACGCATTTTGTTCGTTCCGCCTTCTTTGGGTTTGTCGTAACAACCACTACATTGGCATAAAACCGTACCTATTACCTTGAACGCTTGCGGCGACATGGCATCAGCCGTGTCAGGCATCTTCCATCGAAGTCCCTACGGAGATCACCGGCGATGAGAAAGAACCTCTGAAGGTCTGGCTCAACTGGCATTTCCCTGGGATGAGATTGTTTAAAGGAATGTAATGTAAAATTTGGTTTTGTTTTCTTGGGGTGGGCTAGTGGGTAGGCCTTCAGGAGGGGTAATTAGAAGGGGTGGCTAGTAAACCTGGAAGCTAGTAGTCGCAAGGAAACGGTTCCCATGCAGGGAAATTAAGTTCCTTGTAACCTTTAGTCTTTTTTTGGAATTACTTAATTGTTCCTTTGTTTCTTTCATTATATGTGTATTTCTTTACTGCATCTATGTGGTGTCTTTTTGCTGTTCATCAAATCGCATTCTCAGATACACCCAACTCATGGAACAAAGGAACTCATGTCTACAATTGATGTTCCATGGATGTCTCAGTCAAAGTATTGTAGTTTAGTTTGCAGGTTGTTGTCGGAAACACTGAATGAATGACTCTCCAAACATTGATGAAAAGGTGTGACTGGCCTCAGTTGGAACGGAACTAACTATGGACAAAATAGCTCATGTGCCTTCCAACCATTGGCTTTTGAAGAGCACCGGCTGCCCAGGTCTTTGGGGTTCTTAGTCGTAGTATCGAGCGCCGCGATGCCAAGAGTGTGGATGTGCGCAGACTCAGAGTTCTGAGACCTGCAATGCTCCAGTTTTCAATGCTTATTATCAGATTTAATATATGTATTTTTGGCAAGACCATCTCTCTGAGACGACTGCATCCATTCAATGATGCACAAGGCTTGCCCTGGTTTCCTTTTCGCATGTTCCTCTAGAGGCGGCTGGCACGCATTACATCAATAACAACAGTTCGGGCAGTTTTATCTTTATATCAAACCTTGCTGTTTCTTTGGCTCAAACACAACCGATGCATCCAGCTGCAACAGCCAGCATATTGCAAATATAGCAGCGAGAAGTCACTATACTATCTATAACGGAACAAGGCCTTGCTAAATTTTCCAGCAAATGGCATTGAAGCTAGTGACATTGTGAAATTGTTCTCTTGAATCTCCAAAATTAGACCATTTGTGTTCACATGGTCAGCGATCAACACACGCCTTGAGACTACAGACTACCCATGACTCACGCTGTCCACTTCTTTTCACTTGTCGCCACTTGTACCTTGTCCATACACAGACATGGTCTAGATGTCGGATAGTAATTTGTGTCTGGTGGTGCTTGGCAAAACCTTCAGATCATTGATCGTCATTGTTGTCGATTTTGCTTTCAATGAGACGACTATCGTTGACCAAAAGCTGCATGAAGTGTCAAGAAGGTGTAAAGCAGTGGACAAAACTTTGAATGACTCTGAACACGAGGTCTTTGGGGTGCAGCCGGCCATTTGTCCTGGATTTGGACAGCGCAGCGTGGGACCAGCTTTTGGGACTATGCAGCAGCCGTGAATGTGCCTCGACCAAACAGATAGGCAGCCAAGACTCAAGACGAGTACTGTACCCCATGTTACAGCACGTTATTCATTGCATCTCATTGCTACATTCATTATTTGCGGATCACATGGGGTTGACTACGTCCGAATGTCCAAACTCCCACTCTGATGTTGCCACTTCCCCACAGGCAAGACGGCTAATGCTGCTAATGAACATTGTTGATAAGCAGAAGGAGATCCAAGGTGGACAAATCTGGCAACATAGTCGTGACTGGCGATGCCACGGGATCTTTGGACAACAACACCTTCGCAGGCTCCAGAGACGTGTTTCTTATGAAGTTCAATACATCAGGCCATTGGCACTGGACACGGCAGCATGGCAGCAGTGCCTCCGACAATGCACGAGCCCTGAAGTCCGATGACGAGGGCAACATCTTTCTGGCCGGAGCTTTAATTTCATTATGTCATGATTGGGTTCTCCCATGCATCCACCGGTTTTTGTAGAGCCTGTTTCCATTGTTTGAAGAGCTCATGGGATGTGTTAAAATGGTTTGTGTTTTGTGGATTCAAGCTTTGCCAAAATCGATCCATGCTCGTGCAGCTATCTCATGCCTGAGCACTTGCTTCACGTTCCACAGCAAATTTGTTTTATGCAAGCTTTGTTGACCGGCTTTGCTCATTCGTCTTCGGAGTTTGAGTTTCATCAACATACTTGCTGCATTTGTGAACCACGGTTGGATGCGAAAGCTTTTCACATCTTTTCACCATATCTCAGGATATACATTTGGATCCCTGGACCAGAATGCCAACGTGGGCAGCTCTGACGTGTTCCTCTCCAAGTTTGACAATTCTGGCAAATTGCTTTGGACAAAGGCAAGGGGTACTAGTTCGTGGGACTATGCGCGCGCACTGGACATTGACACTGTTGGCAACATTTTTCTGGCTGGAGCCTGCAATGACTTGAACATGTGTTTTTGACTTTTTTGTGGGATATGATATGAGTGTATAGTTTTCCCAGAAGCAAATCGTTTGTTCTGTCCGACGACCAGTGCTTGCAGCAACTCTTCAGTTTTGCTGTTGGAGTGCAGTTAGTTGGAGGATACACCGGGGGGAGCGTTGGATGGCAACACTCATACTGGAGAGTCCGATTTCTTCCTCATGAAGTTTTCTGCTGATGGGGGTTGGCAATGGACTCAGCAACGTGGGAGCGATTTGTACGATTACGCACAAGCTGTTCAGGTGGAATCTTTTATACCAGCCAAGCAGCATTGTCACCGGTAGTGTCAAGTGCTATGCTTAATATCAAATTTAATGTTTGTTTATTCCTTTATGCTAATATGATTTGATATGTTTGTTGCCATTCCCTTTCAAACGCTTTACAGTGCTTGCATATGGCATAGAAAGGACCGTCGGGGGAATGTCTTGGTCGCTGGACATACAATGGGTGATCTGGACGGGCACGGCAATGCTGGCGGGAAGGATATTTTTCTGGCGATGTTCGACAAGACAGGTGATTGGAAATGGACGCAACAGCATGGTGGCACAGGAGACGATGAAGCCATGGCAATGAAACTGGATTCATTGGGCAGCTAGGCCAGCAGAGACAACCAGTGGAGCCAATCTGTTTACATCTGTTTACATATAGTCTTAGTAGTTCTATTTTGTAACAAAGGGTGACGGTCCCGTCTTGCTCATCCGTCATCCTGCATGGGCCGGCCTACTTATGGGCCGTCCCACCAGCGAAAACCAAGGCAACATCCTCATTGCAGGAGAAACCACGAGCTCTCTTGATGGGTGTGTCCATGCCGGGAGCTCCGATATGTTTCTAATGAAGTTTGCTGAAGATGGACAATGGCAGTGGACCCAACAACGCGGGACCCCTCGTTTTGATGCTGCGTGGGCTCTGGAAATTGATGACTTCGACAGGAGTGTTGTTGCAGGTTACAGTGGTGGCGCTCTTGACGGCAATCAGCATGCTGGAAGTGCCTCGGCAGTTTGCATATGTGTGCATCTTTTATGTAACACGTACTTTCAGACGCACCTTGAATGCATATGCCATTTCGTTGGTAGAGGGAGGGTCCAAAAGCGCAGCGACCCACAATTTGATATTCTTTGGTTTAAGCCTCAAAGGATCTTTGCCAATCTTGCAAAAGCCTACCACAGCCCACAGCTCTCATTTGTTATAATATAGAGTAGAAACAGACAGAACATAGGGCTGCTAGAGGACGTGAAGGGCCAGCCCGCTGTATATAACCTGAAGCAGAATTCATGTCCTAACCAATCCAACGAAGCCAGAAAGCCCTAAACTTTTACATTGGTTTGAGAGAGAAGTTGTCCTAGTGCAAAGACGTTGTACACCCACGAAGTAGAAGAATGTGCCACCGAAAAGGCAGTTCTTGAAGAAAAAGACATTGCCCCTAACCACCAGATGTCTATTTTCCATTCAGAAGGGGCTCTCAGGAAGATTGGAGTTGAGAAAGTGCTCCTGAAGCAACAGAGCAGCAGAGCAGACCAAAGAATCAACAGTACCCCGCTGCAGTTGGTGACACAATATGATGGCCTTCATAATCGTCTTATTTATGTTACTACGGATTTACTACGGCAGTCTTGAGGCATCACAAATCTTGCTGTTTGCTTCTTTCTGTGGGGGGAAAGCTTTCCCAAGTTGGTCTGAAAAGCCCAAGCGCTCTTATTTGCTCATACAATGAAAGAACATTGTGGTACATGTGTGAGGTAAGAATGCTTTGGGCAATGGCAAGAAGTTGTGCATGTTGTTCAAAGTAAGTCAGAGGAGGTTTTGACACTTGACTTGCCAAGGTTCAGATATTTTTGTTATGGTGTTCGACCGGTCGGGGGATTGGCTTTGGACTCATCAACGTGGTAGTGAGCACTGGGACTATGTGCGCGCTATGCAGTTGAGTGGACCTGATGTGATTCTCGTGGGGTCCACACAAGGGTCCCTGGACAATGCCAGCTTCCATGGAGGTGAAGACATTTTTGTGATGAAGCTCCATTCGGATTGATCGAGTGATTACAGCAAGTACAAGGACACCTTCCGTAGTTGTGGAGGTGTTACAGTAATTAACTGCATGATGTTGCCCCACACTCCTACTCGAGTTCACGTGGTAGATTCCTTTGCCTTTGTGCCTTTCGTTTGCATCATGGATTTGACTTGCATACATCAGGGAAAGGACATGAAGAAACGGATCGTGAAGGACCTCAAAATGAGTTGTAGAGTGTAAACGAGTTGCTGAGAGAAATGATGAGGCTAGCTAGGCACCAGGCAGAGCTTTTGGCCTTGAGACGGCCGGACACCACAGCAAGAAACCTGGCGAGGTCTTTGGGTCTTGGCATTTGAAGGTCTTGAAACATCCAAAACCTGTTCACAATGTGTTGAAAGCATTCTGCAGAACTACATGCTACTTATTGCCCAAAAGAAATCATAAGAAGTCCTTGGAGATTGTGTGAACGGGCTTTGGCTGGATTCATAGGAGCTGCTAGGATTGCCGAGACAAGGTGCCCACTCGGTTCCGCCGACCTTTGGAGGCATTCGTTTGGTTTTCGACCTGTAAAGATGAAGCCGAGAGGGCCCAGACATGCATAGACACCCTTGTGTACAGCAAACACGCCACTTGCTGAATTGTTCGAATCTGCCTCAGGTGCGAAAAGGCTGAGGGTGATTGAACTGTGTGCTGGAAGTGAAGCACCAATAACGGACAGTGTGACATGAAACCTCAGCAGTCCGTTTAGGTCCCGCTGGTCCAAGCCATGATCGAGATGCACAGAGCAAAGATCAGACGTGTCTTGTCCAAAAGAAACGGCCTATATAATATATATATATATTATTATATATACAGCCCGTTCTATGCTTGCGCATAGCGATTGTTTCATGGTACTATATGGTACTATATAGTATACTCTTGACCACTTGTGGACCTTGTGGGTTGAATGCTGTTCACGCTTATCGTCACAGGCAGATGCTGGTGCTGTTGGTTGAAAGATGCTTTTGCATTTGAGCTTACAGGCTCTACATCGGGATACACAGCCTGAAGAAAAGGAGCCTGAGTGGGAGCCTGGAGTGCTGCCAGCTGGGTGTCACACAATATGGTCGAGTTTGGTAGGGAGTTTCGACAAGAGGTGCTGGAAAGCTGCCTGAACTCGGAACCGTGGAAATCAGCAATCCAGCTGGGTCGTCATGAAAGAATTGGATACGTACTGATTAAGGTATGAGATTATGATATTGCTCAAATGTGTTTCTTGTAACAAAATGAGGTTGGTAAGCCAATTACCCTGCTATGAATAGGCATGTCAGATAATTCTGTTCGTTCGATCGGCTACACAATTGTATACCACAACCGCTTTTTGGGGGATGTGGACTTTGAGACTTTGAAATGGTGCCATAGACAAGAAAATTCAATCTTGTGCCTTGAAGCACTAGCACCTGCGCAGCTTCGGCTCAAGCAGCCGCTTTATCCACTCAAGCAACTATGGAAACGCAAACTGACGACGCGGGAAGAGCCGAACCGCCCACAGTTTCAGGAGAATCCTGAGAGCTCTTCTGTTTTTAAATCGCCTTAGGACGCCCTTAGATCTGAACAGAAGCCAATACGAAGCAGGAACCATTTGTCGGCTTCATTCAAGTATCCATCAGGCATCCATTGTTTGTGACCCCAGCTGTGCCCACAAAGTACCCTGGTCTATCGCAACATCAATATAATGTTTTGGACCCCAATGAGGCTTTGGGCACTTTCAAACCTTCAGTGACTTTGACAACTTACAGCTAGGTTCCTGTGTCATTGGGCTCACAGCCCAAAATAAGCAGCCATATATAGCCATACCAAATAGGACATCTTTGGCGTTTTGCCTTCTCGGCCCTCACGCGTAGCTCGGAGCTTTCGAGCTGGCGGATGCAGTCAGATCCTTGGTGGGATGCTTTGCTGCCACGCAAAAGACGCATCTGTTTTAAACTTATATTATATATTACATAATATATGAACACATGACACAACACAGAGCAAGTTATTTGCCGCTATGTGCCAATGAGTTGTAGTGGCTAGTTTGTGTGCAAACTCCTGTTTGGAACAACACCCTTCGCATCCCGTCACTATTAATATTGACTTTGACTTCCCTTTCTATCGTTTTAGTACCACCATTGCATGGCGTAGCATGGTGTCTGCTCCTTAAGTGACCACGATTTGCCACACCATTCCTCGACCACAAAATCATCCTAGGCCTTGGGGTAGCGGCAAAGGCAGGATGTTTAAAGATGTCAGTCTCAAGCGACATTTCTTTGCGGCCTATTCGGTTCATTTCAGGAGTCAAGATGCTTGAGACAACTCCCGATAATACTTTGTCTAGAGTCTAGAAATATGCTTCGGAAGCTAGACAGAAGAGAAACGGCTTCCAATACGCCCGAGTCATCCCGAGTCAGGATCAAGTGCGAATTTCACCTTGTCACTTTCAACAATTTGGGCTGCAATGTGCAAAGGGTTTCACAAAGTGCATAACATAAGCCTGGGAAACACACTGTTCAAGACTTCCCTCCATGGGTAAGGCAGCCTTCATGTCGATCAACCTTGAGCCTTTAGCAAAAGACTCGGTTTCAAGCGGAATTGGAATCATCCCAGTACCCGTTGCCGGCCGGCACGTCCAGGTAGCTGGGATACCACTTGGGGCGATGGTGGATGGGATGCCAGCTGGGGTGAAGCCAGCTGGGATGGAAGTTGGCAAGGCCAGATCTAGGGAAATTAACACAAAGCTGTACCCATCTTCAAGAAGGACTTCAACACATTCTTTGGCAGTTGCACTCATGAAACTACAGCATATTGAGCGGCGCAGAACGGTAAAACCCTTATGAGGGCACAGTTTGTCAGTCCAGAGAGTGAGAGAGAAGAAGACGGGGATTGTCTCTATTCGGTGTATGTGTAATGATGTGTATATCGTATAATACAATATATTCAATATATACATATATGCTGCACTATATTTGCATAGTGATCTTGTGATGGTTTATTGTTAATTGAGGCAGGACAAGAAGTTGGGTCAGTTTTGTTCGATTGCATTCATAGCCTGAGTTCGTACAAAGTGGCATGCAACCATCCACGCAAATCCTAGTGACCGTAGTGGTTTTTGCGTGCTTCTGACATATTTCTTGCTTCCTCCAGCTCCAGCATGTGTGGTATTTGTGGAGGGCGCGAACCTGTCCACAATAGGCTATGAGGATGAGTGGTGGGGGGGCACCATATCAGGCTCGGGCGCAGAAAGAATGACATGGCAAACGGGAGGCTACCTGCTAGTTTGGTAGTTTGCCCATGCTATCCACATGTGGTAAATCTTTTAAAACTGTTTGTAGTGTGTACCATGATCTCTTGGCATACCTGGCACCTTTTCACCGCCAGGAGTCTGCTCAAGAAGGGTCATGGCCATGAGCTTGGACAGTGAGCTGCAGGGAGAGTTTAGAGGGAAGGGAACGTTGCTGGTTGAGCAATGGTCATATTGGTCATTGAAAAGGCATGGAAGTCGAAGCTCCGCCATTTCACACTGGAAGCTTGGATTACAGTAAATGTTTGAAGTCAGGTCCATGGGGAAAGCTGATGGCAAAGGCCTTACCAGAACTTGTTGTCGTATGAGCATGTGTCCAGAAATAGTGTCTCCGTTTGCCACATTATGGTTCGAGACTGCAGTGATGGCGTGTGTTTAACATTACATCATTTGTGTTTGCATTCACAGATCCAAATGAGTATATATTGATCTCGAATTCCGGTACCAAAAGCAGAAGGCATTGAGGAATCTCCAAACAGTTGTATCATTTACTCTAAGCTGGAGTGCAAGTTAGAGACGAAGGTTGCAAGATATGCAGACTGAACCAATTGGTCTTGGCTTATTTATATAGTTCCTATCATAGCTTACATGGGCCTGAACACGAAGTTCCTTCATTCAGTAGACCAAGTGCAGGTGCAGCTGGCGAGACATCTGCAAAGGCTGTGCCATCACCAGCCTTCAGGCAGGCCATGAATGAAGGGAGCTTCAGCAAACACATGCAAACACCACCCACGGCCTTCGTTAGGAAACCTACACCAGAGTTAGAAACCGTGAGTCCGGAAACCAGATCGTCCGAGTCAGGAAACCTTTTTGTCGGAGTCAGGAAACCTAGAAACCACCACCTGACAATAACAACAATGAGAACAAGAGCAAGCAGGATAACGGATAGTGACCGATGAAAGAAAAAAAGGGGAAGAAGGTGGAGAAGGAGGAGGGTAGGTGATTCATTGGGCTTAGCTTGGGGTTTCACTTCTTTTTGGTTCTGTTGGGTTTGGGTTATATTGGTTTAGGTCTTCGTTTCTTTAGGGTTTCTTTGGGCTTGGGGTAGGGCTTCTTTGGGGTTTTGTTGGGTTTGGTTTGGGGCTTCACTTCTTTAGGTTTCTTTGGGCTTCGCTTAGGCCTTCCCTTCTTGAAGCTTGGTTTTGGGCTTCACTTTTTTTTGCATTTCGTGGGTTTGGTTTATGTCTTCACATGTCTTCACTAGGGTCTCTTGCAGGTGTTTAAGAGCTTTGTTTAGGACTTCACTTCTTCTGTGTTTCTCCAGTGGAGCAAGAAAGAAGGAGGAGACGGGGGAGGAGCGCTTCACTTCTTCTGGGGCTTCCTGACTCACCCCCCTCTCCTCCGACTGACTCATAGTTTCAAGCTTTCAGATTCACATTGGCTTTCCACCCGTTTCTTCCCTTGTTTCTCGTGAAGGTTTCTGGCTCAGTTTCCTGACTTTGTCATCATCCCAGAGATCATAATAAAAAAATATAGTAAAAAAATAACGGTCCACTTGAAGGCCGCTTCACTGACGTTCGCATCGGGCCTCAGGCCTGAGGATCCGCCGATCAGAGCCAAAGGCTGTGTCACGCGCGTTGTGCGGGTGGCGCGACCTAACAATGGTAGACATGCAATGAAAGAAAATCGCAAAGAAAACATAGACATAACCACTAATAAGATATCCAAGTCTATGTAAACAAAGACTGAATGCGTTGCCCTTTCTTTTGATGCAAAGAAACTGTCCCTTGTACGTTGATGAGCTTGGCAATCACAGAGTCATGCAGGTGCTGGTGGTGTCATTCCCAAGGCTTCTGCTGGGATGTTAGAGTTTTTTTTCGGGGGGGGCAGTCAAGAGGATTCAGGAGGCATCTAATAGCGAGGGCCTCCACCCTAGTAGCGATGGCCTCCAACCGAATAGCGATGGCCTCCATCCTACACTTACATTTTTGTGTGTTGTGGAACCCACGTGAACTGTCATTAAATGACTGCTGGGACTCCTTTTCGATTGTTTTGTCCTCACGGATTTGAGGGTTTTGAAAGAAGTCTGAGTGATGTGTTTAGTAGACACTGGACCAAGTGCCGCGGACAAGAGATTGGAACCGATTGTGCCGGGCACTCTTCAATGATAAAGTGGTGCTGTGCTTGACATTGAAAGGTACAGTGGCATAGAATCTAACTCACCTTGTGAACAGACAGGGCATAGTAGCCTAATTAGTGCCAATCCTTGGAAAACGAAGCCAGAAACCAAAATGATGCCTCAGTACAAACGATCACATTTGGAACCATTTTTGTAGTTTCGGTTCTTCCGAAGTCTTTCCCATCCAGCGAAATTGTTCTGTACAAATATGTTCAAGCATACAAATGCTATACCTCAGTGCCACAACGGCACGATAAGGTGGGTCATTGGAGTCCAAAACAGGGAGGTGGTGGGCCCGAGCGATCTTAGAGTTCAACCTGTTTAAATAGACCGTTTTTCGTTCTTGTGATACCACTCGACGTGCAGACGTGAGGCATTCAGGGGTGTTACGCCAGGCGCAAAAGAAAGGGCCTGTGCTCAGTGCATCTGAGACGAAGGGTTCAAGGAACATGCCAAGACAATCAGTCGCTTGTTTTTTTCATTTGTCGCATTTTTTAAAAGCCTGCCCTTACTTAACTCAGTAGGGGCCTACTTAATTCCGTAAGGGAGAAAACACGCTACTAGACTATGAGAAGTTCGCTCCTAGCTAGGACGCAAGATAGCTCACGCTTCTTCAAGGAAGCTACCCCCGCCTGAGGGCCGGGGCTTCCTTGAAGAAGCGCTTGCACTAATGATTTGGTTCCAGATTTTTAGGGAAACTGAGTCTTGCGCTAAAAAGCAAGTTTGTTAGGCGCGAAGCTGTGCTTCCTTTGGAAACGCATTGCCAGGTGTAACAGCTCATGCTCGTGTTGATGGTTCTTCCCCATCGCACACAGGACCGCAGTCAGGATTTTCTCTATTTATTTAGTTGCCATCGTTTCGCTTGCGTGTTAACAAATTCCTTGAAATACGTTTGAGAAGTCAACGACAGGTAGCGCATGTGTTTTCATTGGATTGGAACAACCTGTGCTGGCTGTTCTGTAGGAAAGGAAGAAGAAGCCAAAGCCGAAGAAAGGCAAGACTCTGCAAGATTTGTTACGTTTCCTCGATCCGGGATCCATCA